TTGGGCCTAATTGAACGGAGGAATTATGGTGTTCTTCTGTAGCCTGACGACGAGTAACTTTAACCGTTTTTTATGTGAACTCAAAGACAGCCTGATGCTTTGTTTATAGACTATTTGTGGGTGGCTGTTTGTTGTTTCACCTATCAATTTGTGTCGATAAAGTATAATAGGGTAAATCCTGTATAGTGATTTATCCTATATAGTGCTTGCATAAAGCAAGTAGTGCATACACTTGTAGCTGTTATGTATCTTTGTAAGTTATTGTAAGCCCTCTTTTGAGGCACGCACAAGCGCACGAAACCAACCCCGTTATAAAAAAAAACAAGTGGGCTCCCCCAAAGTCCACGGTATAGGTCGAACACTGATTATAAGCCAAATGTTTTTTTCGAGTTCGTTTTAAGGCTAAACGTCGTTTTACCTGCTGACTGCAGGGTCCTTTCAGGAAGAAACGTTTTCTTCTTAAAATGACAGTCGACTCTGCTCTCGTGCGCTAAAAACACGTCGTTAAAAACACACGCATGCGCTCATCTCTGAAAGTATCTAATTTGACAAAAGTGCAAAAATAAGGTTGACTAATATTCGATAGATAACATTTTACCTCAGTATTGGTACAGGATCTGATGCGGCTGACTCAACAGCGCGTGTTCATCACTGCCTCCATGAGTAACAGGTGAACTGGAGGATCTTTCGATTCACACAAGATACTCGATTACTTTGTATTACTAGATTACTAGTTTGTTCGCGAAAAGCATTTTTTCGGATTCGTTCACTGATTCGCTCAGTGACTACCGTCATAGTTTGCGTTGTTTTGAAGTTTCTTTGTGTTATGAAAGAGTCATTGAATCATTTACTCAAACGATTCGCTTGAAACAAGGCTTAAAAACCGCTAAAATTGGTATTTGCGTCTGTTCACTATTGCTATTTGCTCATGTTATAGTCTATATTGTAGAAGGACGAAAAATAAGTTAGTGCACAGCATGGTGAACAGTTCACTTTCAGCTTTCACTGCTTATATGAGTAGGACTGGGGGGTGTAGTAGTCACTGTAAACAAGGTTGAAATGAATTATAAGATATTTATCAACACAATGTTTTATAAGGCTTTTGTGTGATGTGACATACAATAATGAAGCAAATTACTGTCTGAAAAATGACATCTGCAAATTCAATGCACAGGCAAAGTGACTGAACAAGAAATGGAAATGAGTAGATTAAATAATATTTGGATGCAAATTAGATTTCATAGTGATACAATTTGGGAATAAATGCTCAAAAAAGTCAATATTGTACAGTAGACAGAACTTTACACAGCTGCAGCTCTCCTGTTAAAGTGACACGCTTATGAGTGAAACAGGCCTTTTCCTCTTATGAACATGTGAGCAATGAAATAATTTTAAACAATTTCTTATTCATAATATATAAACAGCTGCTGCGTACTATTAATCAAACAATAATATTGACAAGAAACAATGAAAAACACTCACTGCTTTTCATTTATTTATTCTTTTCTGACAGTTTGTTTGTACTTGAAGCAACGTTTACTTTTGCGACAGGCCATTGTTTTAATTAGATTTGTAAATATTTGTATTAATATTTGGTTTTTTTAAATAATAAAGTGTGTTCAGTTTTAGTTTTTTCTGTGTAGAGAGTAGTGAAATTTCACTGGTAGAGGCAGCTGAAATGTTGGTATTGTGACGATCCCTGATGGGAAAATAAAAAATAAAGACGTGATTGTTGAGATCCTCAACTTGGCTGGTCTTTTCTATCAACCAACCCATTGCTCTGTTGATGAGCACAAGCTATAATTCTGAAGTGTGTACGAATCAAAAATCCTTTGGCCAAACAGTGCATTAAAATACCTGGCAAGCAACCAGGACTGATTGTCCACCCTGGCATCTGCCGCTCCACAATATTTCTTTGTGAAGTGTACCAGCATGTAAAACGATCAGCTTTTCTGCGTACTTTCCTGTGTGATTGACGACAGAAGCACATGGCATTGTAAGAAGGCCAAATCTGTGCTCTTTGCAAAAAAGAAGAAGCGTGTGATATTTACAACATTGCTTAAAGGGATACTAACCCCAAAAAAATACATGTAAAAAAGCATCAACCACATATTTTTTTGTTGTTTATTTAGGGATGAGTTTATATAGTTTACTTGTTATTAAGTGTCTCAAAACAAACTCTGAAAATCCTTAAATATGTGATGGCAAATCCAATGAATATTTCATCCGCAAAGGCTCTTGTTGCATCAGAATCGTAAACACGGCTGTTTCCAGCCAGACTGATAAAAGCTCTGATGTCCCGTACTCCCAGAAGATACGTAAAGTCAGCCAATCAGATTAGAGCTTGCCAGATTGAGAAAATACATTCCAGTATGCATCTGAATGCAATTGAACAGTGTGTGGTCTGTGATTGTGCCATCTGATGGTGTAGTTAAGGCATTTACCAGCAGGGGCAAACTGGGTCATGCTAACCAGCAAAACCCAACCCCTTGGGTTATAATGCTAATCAAATAGTGTGTTTGTAAACATTTTGGACATAGAAAATCATGTCACATCGCCTATTCAATAATAGTTTACCTAAGCAAATAAAATGTATTTTTATTTTCTTTGTTGTGTTTTAATACAGTTTTTCTCTTTAAAGGTAAAGTATGCCGCTAATGTCAAATAGGGGAATTACAAAAAATAAATCATATTTTTAAACAACCTTTCCAAACGCCCCTTGCATATTATTACAACTATTCTTATCCTTGCAATATTTCACTATTCTATCTGGGGCTTGACAGTAAAGAATTAACGTGTGGCAAATACTTGAATTTAGCTTCAGTGTTAAGAAGAAACTCCATAAGTTCAGTGCCTTGATTGAAACTCGAACATTGCATCAAATTCCTCCATCTTGTAACATCGTCGTCACTGTTTACTCTTGTTTTGCCCTGTCTGTATTTTGGCAAGTCTTCAAATTTTGGCTTGCACTTCTGTAACCAAATCTGAATTTCTTTTCCCATGTAATGCGTCAGCTATGGTCTGGGGGGCTCAATGTTACACTTTTGTGGGAGTCAGTGTAGTAGTAAATGAACAATAAGAGAATCTAAAAAAAATAATAGAATTAATCGCGATTAATCCCACCTAAGATTAAAGTTTTTAAATATACTTTTATATTGCAATAATTTCACATTCAATCTTCAAATTAAGGTAGAAACAACATTAAGACAGTATATTTTTTATATTTGTTTAATGGCATCTTTTTAATGACTGAAGGCAAGTTTCACCGATACCAATACTACTGATGTCTCTATGAAATTGTGTTTTTTTTTTAAATCTAATATGTAATCACTGACTATAGGCATTAAACATTACAGTATAATTGAGAGCTATCAATTTTAACATTTATTAGACTTTTAAAAAATAACTTTTAATTTAAGGGAACTTAAAATGACCTTCACATAAACCCATTATAATAAATGTCATATTTACCTGTGCCCTTCAGCAAGTAGGAAATATACAGAAATTGAAGTTATCAAACACCAAACTCTAAATTAAATATTGATGAATCCTTAAAGCTACAAAAGTGATCGATTTCCTCTTTTTTCTTTTGTTCTTTGATGAACAGACATCACATCAGCTGGGTTATTAGGTTATTTTGGCTGATTTAAGAGCTGCCGCTGCTGAACATTAAGCAGATCTGACACGCATCATATTTTCTTACAACTCTTTACCTTTTCTGGCCCACTTCATGTCTTAAAGTCTCTATTAATGAGCTGATGAGCTGATGAGCTGAATCGGGTGTGATAGATGAGGGAGACAGTATTGGTGCTCCAGGACAGTTCTGTGTGGTCGTAAAGACATTCTGCATCTAAATAAATGCAATTTTGTCAAAAAAATGTTGACAGAAGCAGCAGTTGTGAGTGGGGTGGCCAAACCCTAGCTCCACCCCTACGTTAATTGAGTTAAATATTTTTTACGCGTTAAACTGAAAAATTTAATCGCATGCGTTAACTATGGGGGTAGAATTGTTGCTTTATTCCAAATAAATAGTGGATCATAATCTATTTATTTGGAATAAAGCAACAATTCTACCCCCATAGTTAACGCACTAATTTTGACAGCACTTGTTGCAACTTTAATATTAGTACCCTGTATCAGCCAATACTATTAAAAAAACAGCTAACCCACCTAAAATGATTTAAATTTTGTCATCATTTCCTCACCTTTCCTCTGTAAAACCCAAAAAGAGAAATTTCGCCGAATGTTCATGTTGCTATTTTCCACACAATGAAAGTGAATAGTGACCATGGCTGCCAATCTCCAAAAATGACAAAAAAATGTTTGTTTTTTGATGATCATGATGCATCACATTAGATTTGTGCATATTCAGATATCCTAAATGAGATTTGAAAAATACAACACAAAGGAATATTTTAAGTACATTATTCAAATTTTTTTTCTTCCCATGATCTGTAGATGAAAGGGATTTGGAATGACATGAGGTCATTTTCATTTCATTTTCTGAGTGAACCACTTTAATAGTGGGCTGCACATCTGTATAATAAAGTAATCTTTTTGTTTAGGCTTAATTGCTTGAGGGATTATTGACGCCTCAGGACAGGCGAGCCGACTGTCTATCCAAATTTGACTTCTGGCTCAGGCTCCTTCGCTCTCTTACATAAGCATACATACTAATTAAACCTGATTAGACTTCTAAAGGTTTGAGCCAAGAAACTCCATAATCAGTCACACAAAAAGAACAAAAAACAGTGCTTAATCCACTGACAGTGTTACATATGATTTATAGCCTTGCGTAAGATGTAATCCTCTTCTCGACATGCCTTGAGGTGCATTACGCTCAGGATGAATGAATTGACAGGCCGTGGTGGTTCCATGAAGATCAGATCAGATTTCGTGCTTGGACTCGTCCCAAGGGCACTGGGGAGAGCATTTGCAAGTTAGCAAGCAGTATGGAGTGTATTAAAGACATATTAACCAAGGTTCAAAGGGCTAAGCTGTGTTTCCTCCTATTCCATAGAACTGGATACGAAGACTTCCTACAAAACTGCTAGTTTTTATGACATATTAATATACTTCCAGAACAAACAGAAGTCATAAATCAGACATAGCATCAAAGTCATTTTAGGCCATGGGACAAAGGCTACGACTGCTACAGTAGACTCTGGCAAAATGCAAAAAAGTAAAATAAAACAGCATAAATTTCCTTGAAATACAACAAGATGTGCCATCTTTGCTGCCAGTGAAGCTGTTTGCAGTAATTTACAGCGTTCTGAGATGCCAAACGATTTTGTAACTAAAGACATATTTCAATGAAAGAGGAGAAGCCCTCACACATGATGAGAAACATGAGACAGGTCTGGCAGTGGTTCATGAGCTCAATTTAACAAAATATAGGCAGACTTAGGAAAATGAGGTCAGGACTCCCAAGAGGGACATTGTTTTGGCTCGGCAAATGCATAAAATTCACCCTTTCTATGTCTATTCTTCTTTCACCAGCCCTTATCAGTACTGTCATGAGCAGAACACTCATTTCAGTTATCACCAACTTTATCATCCTGGTACGCGGAACCACCACAACTCAAAGAGAAAGCTGCCAGTATCTGAACATCTATTTGTTTTGCCTGATATTGATGGAAAACATCTCTTTAATAGAGATTTCATGCTTAT